TTTTTTTAAACAATTCCCGGGATTTTTTATTAAATAATTCCCGGGATCCTCCGGGCTCGTCCCTCGCTCCCCCCCCTCCAGGGCCCCCCATCATTAATTATTTATTAACTCAATCACGCCCCCGTTAATTAATTTATTAATTTATTAATTCCCGCTGCTCTTTTAAGGCGCGGCTCGGCCCCCTCGCCCCCGTTTATGGAGATTTATGGAAATTTATGGAAATTTATGGAAATTTATGGAAATTCCGGTCCCGTTTTTTTCCCCCCCCGCGTTTTTTTGGAGCTCAGAGCTGCGCCCGCGGCCGCGGGATCGGGAGCGAAATTCCCGGGAAAAGGGAGCGGGAAAAGGTCGGGAAAACCGCGGGGGGAAAAAAAGGGAATTTCGGGGAGGAAAAACGGGAATTCCGGGGCGGAAAAATTCGAATTTTGGAGCGGAAAAATGAGAATTTTCCCACCCGGAACAGCGAAAATCCCCCCAGGGCGGGGCGGGGAGGGAAAAGGGAATTTTTTGGGATTTGGGGGCGAGGAAATCCCGGGAGTTTCCGCTCGTTTGGGTGGGAGAAGTTTGGGATCCCCCGGGGGGTTTTTTGGGGGGTGAAAAATCCCCGAAATTCCGTTTTCCTGCTCCTTTTCCGGCAGGGAATCCCAAAAACGTCGCGTTTGGGACTCGATTTTTTTTTTTGTAAAAAACAAAATCCCTAAAACTTCATTTCCCGGCTGGATTTTAGGGGGGATAAAAACCCCTGGAGTTGGTTTAGCTCCTTGTTTTTCTGGGGAAAAAAAAAACAAACAAATCTTCTTTTTTCCCCTTGACTTGATGGGAAAAATCCCTAAAATTTCACTTTTCTGCTTGTTTTGACAGGGGAAAAAAAATCCCAGCTCCTCCTTTTCCCTCAGTTCACGGCACCACATCCCTGAAACTTCACTTTTGGCTCGGTTTTATGGAAAAAATTCCTCCAGCTCCATTTTTTCCCTCCTTTTAAGGCAAAAGCTCCCTAAAACCTTCTTTTCCCTCCTCGCTAATAGAAGGAAAACCCCTGAAATTCTCTTTTTTCCCCTCGTTTCTCCAGCAGGGATCCCCAAATCTCCGTTTCATTCCCATTTTTTTTCGGGAATCTCCCCCCCCCCCCC